TTTTTGAGTACATCTCTTTTTATAATTTTCTTAGTGCTCGCTCCAGGTGTTGCAATATCTATACATCGTGTCATATTCTACTGATAGCAACTTTTTCCCACTTCAAGTGAAGTGTAGAAAACTTACTCCATTTGTGTTCTTTTACACTTCCCACTTTTAAAATATATTTGTCTCAAGTATTTTCTCTACAGTCATTGATCACCATACCAGATGTTGTTATAATTCTTGCTTTAACCATAAAATATAATTTAAGAAATTCATAAGCATTAAGATAATCTATTATATTTACCTCTATTTTTACCCATTCTGATATTCTTTTTTCTTTCCTGAAGTCCCACAAATTCATCTTGGATTATCATTTCCTTTTTATTTAGAAAATTTCTTCAGCCATTCTTTAAAGATAGATTTACCAGCAACAAATTCTTAGTTTTTCTTCATCTGAGAATATCTGTATTTCCCTCCATTTTTGAAGGATATTTTCACAAATATAGAATTTGTACTTGATAGTTTCTTTATTATCATTATTTTTTTTTTTTTTTGAGGAAGATTAGCTCTGAGCTAACTACTGCCGATCCTCCTCTTTTTGCTGAGGAAGACTGGTCCTGAGCTAACATCCATGCCTATCTTCCTCTATCTTATATGTGGGACGCCTACCACAGCATGGCTTTTTGCCAAGCGGTGCCATGTCCACACCTAGGATCAGAACGAGCGAACCCCAGGCTGCTGAGAAGTGAAATGTGCAAACTTAATCGCTGTGCCCCTGGGCCGGCCCCATCTTTATTATTATTTTTTTAAAACTACTTGAAAAATGTTCTGCCACTTCCTTCTGTCCTTCATGGTTTCAGATGAGAAATCCACTGTCATTCAAATTGGTATTTCCCTATAAATAATGTATCTTTTCTCTCTGGCTGCTTTCATGACTTTTTTTTGTCTCTAAAGTTTAATTATGATGTGTCAGTGTGAATTTCCTTGGGTTGCTCCTACTTGTGGCTATTCAGCTTTTTAAATCTGTAGGTTTATGTCTTTCACCAAATTTCAAACAATTTTTCCGTCCTACTCTCCTCTCTCCTTCTGTGACTCCAATGATACAATGTTCCCTTTTATTATTGTCCCATGGGTCTTTGAGAGTGTTCTTTTTTTTCAGTCTTTCTTCTTTCTGTTGTTCCGATTGTGTAAATTCTATTGATCTGCTCTCAAATTCACTGATTCTATTCTCTGTCATCTCTTCTCTACTATTAAGCCTAAGCAGCAAGTTTTTATTTGGCTATTGTATTTTTCAGTTCTATAATTTCCATTTGGTTCTTTTTTATAACTTCTATTTCTTTGCTGAGATTATCTGTTTTTTTTCATTTACTTCAAGAGAATTCGTGATTGCTTGTTGAAGCATTTTTATGATGGCTGCTTTAAAATCCTTGTTGGATAATCCAATGGGTGTTGGCATCTGTTGGTTACCTTTTGAAAAAAAACAAGTGAAATTTTTATTTTTTAGAGTAGTTTTAGGTTTGCAGCAAAATTGAGCAGAAGATACAAAGAGTTCTCATATGTCTCCTACTTCTACACATATACAGCTTCCCCAACTATCGACACCCTGCGCCAGAGTGGTACATTTGGTACAATTGATGAACCTACATTGACACATCATTGTCACCGAAGTCTATAATTTACACTGGGTTCACTCTTGCTATGGTACATTCTATGCATTTTGACAAATGTATTATGGCACATATCCACCATTATAGTATCATACAGAATAGTCTCACTGCCCTAAAAATCTTTTGAGCTCCACATGTTCATCCCTCCTTACTCCCCTACCTCCTCCTCCTAGCAACTACTGATATTTTTATTGTTTCTATAGTTTTGTGTTTTCCAGAATGTCATATAGTTGGAATCATACAGTATGTAGCCTTTTGAAATTGGCTTCTTTCATTTAGTAATATGCATTTAAGTTTCTTCCATGTTTTTCCATGACTTGATAGCTCATTTCTTTTTAGCACTGAATGATATTCTATTGTCTGGATGTGCCAAAGTTAATTTATTCATTCACCTACTGGTTGACATTTGGCTCCTTCCAAGTTTAGGCAATTATGAATAAAGCTGCTTTGAATATCTATGTGCAGATTTTTATGTGGACATAAGTTTTCAACTCCTTTGGGTAAATACCAAAGAGCACAATGCTGGACTGTATGGTAAGAATATGTTTAGTTTTGTAAGAAACCACCAAACTGTTTTGCAGCTGTATCATTTTGCATTCCCACCATCACTGAATAAGAGTTCTGGTTGCTCCATATCCTTGCCAGCATCTGATGTAGTCATTGTTCCAGATTTTGTCCATTCTAATAGGTGTGTAGTGGTAGCTCATTGCTATTTTGATTTGCATTTCCCTGATGACATGCGTTGTGGAGTATCTTTTCATTTGCTTATTTCCCATCTATATATCTTCTTTGGTAAGTTCTCTGTTCAGGTCTTTGGCCCACTTTTTGAATGAGTTGTCCATTTTCTTATTGTTGCATTTTAAGAGTTCTTTGTATATTTTGGATAACAGTCCTTTATCAGAAGCTGTCTTTTGCAAATATTTTTCTTCCAGTCTGTGGCTTATCTTCTCATTTTAGTAAGTGTCTTTCATAGAGAAGAAGTTTTTAATTTTAATGAAATCCAGCTTATCAATTCTTTCATGGAGCATGCCTTTGGCATTGTATCTAAAAAGTCATCATCAATCCCAAGGTTATCTTGATTTTCTTCTATGTTATCTTCTAGGAGTTTTATAGTTTTATGTTTTACAGTTTTATAGTTGTTGTGTTTTGTGTATAGGTTGATTATACATTTTGAGTTAATTCTTGAAAGGATGTAAGCTTTGTGTCTAGATTCAGGTTTTTTGCTTGATGATGTCTGGTTGTTTCTTCACCATTTGTTGAAAAGATGACTTTTTTCTCTGTTGTATTGCCTTTGCTCCTTTGTCAAAGATCGGTTAACTATATTTGTGTGGGTCTCTTTCTGGAGTCTCTATTCTGTTCCATTGCTCTATTTTCCTATCATTTCACCAATACCCTACTGTCTTGATAACTGTAGCATGATAGTAAGTCTGGAAGTCAGGTAGTGTCAGTTCTCTGATTTTGTTCTTTTTCAATATTATGTTGGCTTTTCTGGGTCTTTTGCTTCTCCATAGAGACTTTAGAATCAGTTTGCTGATATCCACAAAATAACTTGCCAGGCTATTGATTTGGATTGCATTGAGTCTATAGATCAAGTTGGGAAGAACTGAATGTCTTGAAAATATTGAATCTTTCTGTCTGTGAACATGGAATATCTCTCCATTTATTTACTTCTTCTTTGATTTCTTTCATTAATTTTATGGTTTTCCTCATTAGATCTTGTACATATTTTGTTAGATTTATACCTAAGTATTTCATTTTTTTGGATGCTAATGTAAATGGTATTGTGTTTTTAATTTCAAATTCCACTTGTATATAGGAAAGTGGTATATTGGAAAGTGATTTGGCTTTTGTATTTTAACCTTATATCCTGCAACTTTGCTATAGTCACGTTATTAGTTCCAGGGGTTTTTTTTTTTTCGGTCAATTCTTTCAGATTTTCTACATAGGCAATCATATCAGCTATACATAAAGACAGTTTTATTTCTTCCTTTCCAATCTGTGTACTCTTTGTTCCCTTTTCTTGACTTATTGCATTAGCTAGAACTTCCAGTGTGATGTTGAAAGGGAGTGATGAGAGGGGACATCCTTGCCTTATTCTTGATTTTAGTGGAAAAGCTTCTTGTTTTTCTCCATTAAATATGATATTAGCTGTAGGTTTTTTGTACATGTTCTTTATCAAATTGAGGAAGTTCCTCTATATTCTTAGTTTGCCAAGAGTTTTTTGTTTTTTGTTTTTTTATCATGTATGGGTGTTAAATTTTGTCAAATGCTTTTTATGCATCTATTGATATAATCATGTGATTTTTCTTCTTTAGCTTGTTGATGTGATGGATTACATTAATTGATTTTTGAATGTTGAACCAGACTTGCATACCTGGAATAATACCTCTTGGTAGTGGTATATAATTCTTTTTATACTTTGTTGGATTTGATTTGCTAATATCTTATTTGGAATTTTTGCGTCTATGTTCAGGAGAGATATTGGTCTATAACTTTCTTTTCTTGTAATGTATTGTCTGGTTTAGGTATTAGGGTATTGCTGGCCCACAGAATGAGTTAGGAAGTATTCCCTCTGCTTCTAACTCTTGGAAGAGATGATACAGAATTGGTATAATTTCTTCCTTAAATGTAGAATTCACCAGTGAACCCATCTTGGCCTTAATTGCCTTTTTAAATTCATGTTGTAATTTTCTTGATTCTTGATATAGCAAGTAACTTTTTTAATTGTCTCCTGGATATCTTGAATATTATAAGACTCTGAATGTGATTTAATTTTCTCTTTTTAGTAGGCAGTCCCCCCGTGGAGATGTGGCTAGAGGGACAGGTATGTTAAATTTTCTTTTGGGCTCTGCTGACACCAGTTTGGAAAAAGTAAAGCACTGATTCATGTTGTCTCCTTGCAGACATGTGGGGTGGAAGTTCAGCTTTTGCCCTTGGCCCCATTGTCACCTTCTTGGCCAAAGTGAGGCACTGAGTCACCCCATCTCATTGTTTCCAAGTGGGAGTGTAAGATCAGCTCCCCACTGGGACCTGCTGCCACCAGCGAGGGTAGGAGTGGGAGTGGAGCGTTGACTAACCCACCTGATACCACTTCATTTCACCTAGTTGCTGCTGAGTAGGGACGAAGGCTCTGATTCCCACTGGGCCCAGCAGATACTGGGAGAGGGAGGGCAGGAGTGACAAAAGGCCCTGATTTGCATGGCCTCATTCAATCTTGTTATTGCCAGGTGGGGCTGGAGGCTCAGCTCCCCTGGACCTTGCTGACCCTATTCTGGTGGGGGAATCAGAGCATCGTCTGCTTCCTCCAGGGGGTGATGGAAAATCAGCTCCTTGCTGGCTCCACTGATGCTAATGCCACTACATGCCTTCTTCTGAGTGATGGAGTGGTGGTGGAATGGCAGATTGACTCCCTGCCCAGCCCCATTGAGACCACAGGGAGATGGGGGTAGCTGTGGTTTTTCCTTTTGGTGTTTGGCTGGAGTAAGGCAAGTATTACCAAAAAGATTTTCTATTGTTAGGTCACCCTTTCCCCTGTCCTTTGGCTGGGAGGCACAGACTTTCCTTGGAGCTTTTTTCATCTATGCTTGTTGGTGATTCCGGGTTGGAGGCTTCTGCAGCACCATGTCCAGTGCATCAGGAATGCAACAAGGAAACCCACTGTGATGGTTAATTTTATGTGTCAACTTGACTGGACTAAGGTGCCCAGATAGCTGGTAAACATTGTTTATGAATGTGTTTGTGAGAGTGTTTCCGGAAGACATTAACATTTGAATCAGTAAACTGAGTAAAGTAGATTGCCTTACCAATATGTGGGCCATCATCTGATCCACTGAGGGCCTGAATAGAACAAAAAGGAGGAGGAAGGGCAAATTTGCTCTCTGCTTGACCTGGAACATCTATCTCCTCCTGCCCTCACTCATCGGTGCTCCTAGTTCTCAGGCCTTCAGACTGACACTAGAACTTAACCCATTGGCCCCCCTGGTTCTCAGGCCTTTGAGTTGGGACTGGAACTGCACCACTGGACTTTCCGGGCTGCTAGCTTGCAGATGGCCTCAGGTGGGGTCTTGAGCCTACTGGCATTTGAACTGGAACTACACCGTTGTCTCTCTTGGTTCTCAGGCCTTTGGACTTGGATTGGAACATCATCAGCTCTCCTGGGTCTCCAGCCTGCCATCTGCAGATCTTGGGACTTGTCAACCTCCGTAATCATGATACCGGCTCAACACGAGGTTGATATCAGAGAAGCCATATTGTAGAAAGGAAATCTATTGTAACTTTAAATGACTGCTGACTAACTAGCCTGGACATGCTTTGTAGATTTTGTGGCCCCTCCAAGCTGCTTTAAGATGATAACTTTGTTCTTTTGAGTTCCTTAAGCATGTGATGACCCCTGGGCAGAGAGCCTATGCTGATAGCCATCATCAGTGACAACTGAAAGATCAGGATATAGGGTGTTGCTGCATTCTCTGATGCATATCCAGTAAAACAAAGGACTATCAGGAACTGGGACCAGATGTCTGCCTCCACCCAGAGACCAGCCACTTCCCCACCCAGAGACCAGCCCCTTATATAGCTGGCCTGTAGTCTTTGTTCTGGGAGATGGTTCTTTTGGACATGAGTCAGCCATCTTCCCTCTTGCTAGCAAGCTGTAATAATGTCCTTTCTCTCCTACCACCATGCCTCCTGACTATTGGCCTGTCTTGCAGTGAGCAGACGAGCCCCCTTAGGTAGTAACAATGTGAACCAATCCCTCATAATAAATCTCTTTCTATCTCATTCTCTATATACTATTGGTTCTGTTTCTTTGGAGACTAATACACCCAGGGGACCCACCACTGCGTCGGTTCTCAAGTCCTGAGGTCCCTGGGCCTTCCACCTTCTTCTTTCCACCTTTCAGAGTATTCGAAAGCTTTTTATGTTATATCCAGGGCTTTTTAGTTGTAAGAGGGAGGACCTGAGAGGAATGGGGCCACTCCCATCACGGAGGAAACAGAAGTCTAAAAATTTTTGATGTGTAAACTTTAGTTGATGAGATGGTCTTGATAGAAATAACCTTGGTGAGAGGGACGATCCTGTGAGTGAAGATGTGTAAAGTCATTAATGGCAAGTCCTCTGCAGAGCATTCCAAGTAACTACGACTGGGAATTATAGATTACGTCAGGGAAGCACCAGCTTGTGGAGTCAGAATAATTAGAACGGGGAAAAAAGCTCTCTTTTTGTAAAAGAGTTTGTGCTGTAATAATTTAGAATTATTTTAAGATAATTTGTCACAGTAGATGATGTGGCTCAAGGCTGCCCCAGGGAGAGAAGCCCAGGGCATCCTCGCCTACATGCCGATGTGTATGACCAGATTCATATCTAAAGTTATACGACCACACAATAACCAGACCCCATCTGCACTGAAACCATTTAATGACTTTTTACATCATCTTTTCTTTTTCCAGTAAAAATAAATCACGTACCCAATTTAGCCCTAACCCTCAATACATTGCAGCAGCAGCTCTGATTGCCCATGGGTCCTGTCCCCATGCTATTCCACACTATTCTGTAAATAAAACAGCACTACTGCCAGACCTTGAGAGTCCAAGAAATCTTTCTTTTGACTCCTTGACTCACTGACCCCGCATCAGTAGATATGGAGTGAATTTTTAGTTAGTATTAATTGATATTTTCCTTGAGCTGTATTAAAAATTTGTTACAATATTTAAATTTATAAATCTTGTTAAAGATTACTAGTGACTAGCTCTCATTTTTTTTTTCCTTAAATAAAATGTCCTTGGTAAACTTCAGGCTCATATTGGTATATGTGTATGATTTTCTTCAAATCAAACCTGAACCAGAGAAACTTTTGCTTTAGTTTTAGTGGTGCTTGTCCTAAATGTGCAGGCTCTATTGTTCTGACTCACTGGAGTTCTGAGAGATACTGAATAGGCCTTGACTGAAATTTTCTTCATTTTCTTTTTAAATTCTATTGAAAATATTGTCTTTGTCTTAGAACTATTGGAAAGATACAGACTTCTATCTGGGCTGTCCCCAGCAACCACAAGGATCTGAGAAGCGGCACCTCTGTCTGGGGAGAGGACATTCCTGCAGACTTTTCCTCCTCCTTCGGGAGAGTGATGAAAACAGAGAAAGAGCACACTTGGTTCTGTGATGAGCCGACAGCCACTGCTTGGTGACACTGTTTTGTGAACATCCTCATCTTTGCCAGGTCCCCTGGTGTGCCCTCGTTCTTTATCTCCACTTTGCACCCTCAGGTGTCCTAATGGAAAAAGCAAATCACCTGCAAGGGGGAATCCGACTGGTCCCTGCTGCTCCCCGACTTCCCCAATATCTAATGCCAGAAGACAGTGGAACAATGTCCACAAAATTCTGAGGGGAAGAAATTTTGACCCAAGAAAATTACAGTCAACGAAGAGGGTTCTTCAACCAAAGACTTCTGGTGAGTGTTTCGAAGTGCATAAACCATGTAAGAAATTACAGTACTCATGAAAATTTATTTGCCAATGAATCTAGAAAAATAAGAATTGAATCAAAATAAAAAACACCAGAATAGAGATGCTAAAATAAAATGACTGGGAGGTGACTTGAATCCATTCAAATATAGATCTCATGCTAAAACCCTAAGAATCATGGTTACGGAATATAAAGTAAATGATATAAATCCAAACAATGTAAAATAATATTACAACTAAGAAAAATCAAGGAGTTAGAAGAAGAGATATGACAGGACATGTTCTTTTATGGCAAGGAGTTAGTCAATTATCTGAAATTGAAGCATGTAAGAAAAAACTAATGACTGAAAACTAAGTTTTCCTCTTTTTTCTTATCCTTAGAAAGATGTTTTAAGCAATAATGTATCTTATGAAGAAAGAACACTGATTTTATGTTCACAATTTTCCTTCTGTTAAATTCAGTCTGTTTTATTAAAAGTGGTATGATCCCATTTAAGTAAATGTAATTTATTCTATCTATCCCTTCATCCATCAATGGATACATATGCACAGACAAATGCCCCCTTTGGAAGACGGGTGACACGGTGTTCTTTTCTAACTCCAACCCATCACGGCTTCCATGGGGCCAGTTAGACAGCTTTGAAATGTGTTCCCCACAGCTGAGAGACACAGAGGACTAGGGTCTGATAGCTGCATAGGAATTCCAGAGGGTGAGAGAAGGACTAAAGGCTACTCTGATGGCAGAGCCAGGAAAAGTGCTTGGTTCTTGCTGTGCGTGGAGCGTCTGTCAGGGTAAAGGATGCCTGATTGTTTCCTGTGGACACATGTGGACCAAGTCGGAGAGAGACCTGGTGTGCTGTCTTTTGGAGGCCTTTTTTATAGGGTTGACTGGCAGAGTGAGGAAAACTTAGCATAAGAAGACTGGTAGCATGCCTCTGGATGCCCAAGCGTTGAAGAAGGAGTTGCTAAGAGGCTCCCTGGGGTCCTGGGAACTTCTGAAGAGCCCAAGGAAAGCACCACCACAATTCATGTGTAGTTAACAGGGAGGCCCATCTGGGAATACTGGTCAAGCAAGAACCCCTTCTTTCCTCACTTGCTGCTATCCGGGTTTGACCCAGGAGCAGTCTGAAAGTGCAGCTTCCCTGTAGGGCAGGAAGTAAGCTGGGAGAGGGTAGAGGGCAGAAGAACCACACAGCTCCTTCCTCACTTCTGAACTGAAGCCAGAAAAAGTTAAACGTTGGAGAAAATATAATGCTAAGCTGAGCTTTGGAACTTCCACTATTATATGGGACTAGGTATTTTAATTTTTGAATTATTTTTATGACTAATGGTGACTGAAGGATATTTTGTTATTTTCCAGGAGTTCAGAAAAGTCGTGTGCACCTGCATGCAACCACATGTTTGCCATGAGAGCCCAACACTTTCCTGCTGCTCTGTCTTCATAGAAAGCTCTCTATTGAGTGAAACCCTACTCTTCCTTCAAGGCCTGGGTCCAATGTCACCTCCACCGTGAAGCCTTCATAGATCTACTCAAATGGAAACTTTTGCTGACTCCTCCATACTCTCTTAGCACCTTAGTTGTGTTATTGGTTTAGCACAACACAGACCCTACCTAGAATGTCACCAAAGTCTATGCTAAGCAAAACTGGATTAATTTGCTTAAAAAGTGCTCACTTTTGCATCTATGTTAGTCTCTCTGTGCTCATGGGAAAAGTAGAGCAATATCACTTCAAAACATGATGGAAAAGAAAATTAAATTCTCAGCCCCGGGTCCTATGAAATTGTGAACTGTCACCTTTACCATCCCAGCAAGGCTCCTGGTGTTTAGGAAACCGGAGCACAGCTGAAGTGATGATTTTGACCCTCATCCCTGTGACAGACTGCAAGTGTCAGTTTATTCCTGCATTTTCTGTGGAGCTTTGCCTTCCTTGTGACATGATGCTTCAGTTTATGCCTAGAACCCCTTCCTGCCAAATGATGTCTGCCAGGGGATACGTGATGCTGCACAAAATGGAACAATTACAGAAATAGGTCATATAAGATTTCGGGACCTTGTTGACGTGGAGAAGTCACTAAATTGGAGACACCATGAAATCCCAGGGTCCCATAATATTGATGGAACTGGGGTTTTGCTTTGTACAATATTTTATGGTGGGTGGGGAATGACTGTCTACCTGAACCCACTTTTAAATATCTATAGGAATAGATACATGTACTGTCTCCTAATAGTAAATAAAGAGAAGGAAGATGTGCCATATTTAGAGATGACGCTGTCCTCTCCAGTTGAGGCAGATTCGGTGATGGTGTTAGAAACAGAGATTGGTTAAAAGGAATGGGAATTATGAAGTAATCCCCTCTCCGCCAAGTAAAAACTTAGAGCATATTCTTGGCTAAATCGTTCAACCTTACAAATTTCTTCCATGAAATTTCCAGTTTGTATCTGTAAAAAACCTCAAATTACTTAATTAAAAAATGAATGTTCCCATGCAAAAAGAAAGGAGGATCTTCTAACAAGCACCAAAATAAAGAAAAATAAAATGAAACCAAAATCTTCTCTCCAGAAGTGCCCACAATGGACAACTTGGTGTAAATAACGAATATTTAATTGGCTGCCAAATACCAATAATAATAAGGAAAGAATAATCTTGTCGCATAGCACAAGGGTTATACTTTCTAACATCCTTCCAAGGTGAGTTTGGTTCAGGTTACCTGAGTTTTAGTTAAATCTGTGTAAGAATGACTTCTTAAAAATTAATATGGGAATTAGCCATATTATAAGTCAAAAAAGCAAGTTTCCAAAACCTGCCTTAACTAATACAAGTCTTCAGCTGTCTGAGTCAGCATGAGGCCAGGAGAACCTGAATGTTTTGCTAAGAGACCTGTGAAAAAAGTAGAAAAATCCAAATCTCAGAGGAGGGCACTTTTGGAATAAATGTATACCTAACATTCTGAAGGGAACTTTCAGTGCAATAAAGAGAAGGAGTTTCTATTAGGATATTTAGGAAATCTAAGAGATACGTTTATTGGGCTCTTCAATATTTGAAAATAGCTTATTTCCTCCCACAAATGGTATACAGTTTTTTGTGGGTCATTCTGAGAAAATTCTCAGATGTATATGAATTTGCATATACATTTTGAAAATGTACATGAAATTTCAAAGCTATTTTCTGAACTGTTAAGCATTTTGTTTTTGCATTGAACTCTGTTATAACGAGCAAATCACTTGAAAAATAGATGATTCCTTTTCATAGTCTTACTGTTAGTGTGAATTGAAAAGATTGCTTTCAGCTTTCTCTACTCAGTTTTTATGGGGTGTCACTCTTCCTGGCTTTGTCTGCCACCCATTTTCTTTATAAGTGGGGAGGGTTTGGTTTCAGTGAATGATTTGTGTCTTTCTGTAGACTATTTGCTCAAAGTGACAGGAGGGAAAGGTTACAAAGCTTTACTGTGTTCTCCTGTAGGAGAGTGCTGGTAGGTAGAACAACGTTTTATTCTCCAAATCCAAACCAGCCTTGGTAGGTGGGGAGAGGGGCATATGATCTCTACCAGGAAATTACTTGCAAAGTCAACTTAATCTTAGAATCAAGAGGATGAAAGAATTTTGCCGTGTCTTCTGATCTGTCTCGTGTGTTCAGGTGGGACACTGTAAGCAGCCTCCTCATTTTCAGTCTGTTGCTTCCTCTCGCCTTTCCCCCTTTCTCCTCCCTATCTCCTGCACACTCTCTTTCCTTCTTCCATTCTGTTGCCTCTCCTCCTCCTCGTGGAACTTTGTCGATCTCTTTCCAGATCGCCCCTGACTTGGACAGAGTTCAGGGGAGAGGCCCCTGGCTCAGGGATCACAAGATTTAAACCTACAGCACGTAGAGAAGCTGCTCTTAAATCCCAAGGCATTCACTGATTGACCCATACTGTGGTCTAGTTCCAGTTCAGGAGCCAAGTGTTGTGTCCTTCCACTGGTGTCTTAAGGAAATCACAAAGTCTGTGGTGTGAATGAGGGTCAAGCTGGGACAAAAGCATCTTTAGAACAAGCTGGAGCAATAAGCCGCGTGGCCTCCCCCACCACCCTGACATTTCTGGGTATGTATTTCTAGGAGCTCACTTACCCAGAAGGTTGTCACAGCAGCACTCAGGGCTTGTTCCTTACTGCCTCAACTGTTTCTCTTTTAGTGCAGCCAAATATAACGCCACCAGGAATTAGCACTTTAAGAAGTTTTTTCTATTGTTAGTAGTTTCTGAGGAGTAATTTCTTAGTGCTTCGCTCTCTTAGACTGATGTTTTCAGTAAACACACTCCACACTTATTTTCCGTTGTTGACGTTGTGACGCTGATTCCCCCTATGGAGGAAGGCCTCATTCTCCCAGTTGCTGGGGGTGCTGCCAGAAGACAGCCTTCAGCCTTGGCTCCCTCTGGAAATTGCCCATGGCTGCTCTGGGGGGCAGCCTGCACTACTCACCAGTTTCAGGGGGAATATAAGGCCAGATGCCCTTGCTGCAATGCAGGCCAACTCTGAAGGGCTGTCCCAGCTTCCCTGTGCCTCAGAGGGGTGGCTGAGTCCTTCGTTGAGGCTGCATCACAGTGCACTTCCCTCTCTGCTTGGTCCTGCTTCCCACCACTCCCTTCCACAGGGGCTGAGTCCAAGAGCCTTCTCTAATCAACTCACTGCGTACTAATCTGCTTCAGAGTCTGCTTCCGGGGAGCGCAACTGTGAAAATTCTCCTTTCCTAGTCTTACCAGGGAAGACAATCAAAAACAAAATTAAAAAAATTGTTTAATAAATTATTAAAGTAACAATACATTACACGGCATTGTGCTTTAGCATACCAGAGTCAAGCTCTCATCCTCTTTGGTTGGGCCACAAAAATGGGGGGTAGGACCCCAAATAGCTGGGAAGAAGAACTGAGATTTACATTTCTTCACAGAAAATGAATGTCCAGAATGGACCCAACACCAGGATAGCAACATTGGAAGCAGCTTCCTGCAGGGCTGAAGGCACAGGTGTAGACAGGGTGCCTTAGTTTGAACTCTAGCTCTGCCATTTACAAACTGTGTCTCTGTCCCACACTCCCCTCATTTGTAGGTGAGAATAATATTATTTACCCTGTGGGTTGTGACAGACCGAATATATGAACTAATAGTGGCCAAACCATATATAAGAACACAACTCTGACCCACAATCCATAGCAACTGGCCCAGAAAACCAACCCATTGTCCATGGGAAGCAGCCCGGGAAGCCAGCCTTCTATTCTCAAGTCAGACTTGTAGGAAATCAGACCCTCTATTTCTAGCAAACAATTCAGGAAGCCAAACAGTAACCCCTTGTAACAATTGGCCCCAAACAGCCAGGACTTGATTAATAACTGGCAGCTTCCCTGATTTTTGTCTCTGCTTTCAACTTAGCGCTAACCAGGGAAAGACAAATTGCACCCCTAACCAATCACATAGGATTTTCTGCTTCTAGTTAGTCCTCCTACAGCTTCCTCATGCCGACACCCTCCAGTCAGGGCACACCTGAGCCTTTCCTTTTTTCCACTGTAAGGCTTTCCCCTTCCTCTGCCTGCCTTTGAGTCTCCGCCAAATGTAAGTGATAGTGGCTGACTCCCTTGCTCTCTTGCAAGCTCTGAATCAATAGCCTCTGCTTGTTCTCATTGGTGTGGGCTTTTTTTATTTCACAGTTATTGTGGAGGTCCCACAGAGACCTGGGCTCACTGCCTGTTGCCACAGACCCCCGCCTTCAACCAGGTGCAGTACCCACAGAGTCCCCTTGTGCCTTGTCGGTCCTACCTCATGGAGTTCGTGAGGACATCGCTGGTCAATACTGGGTCTGAACTCTTCTCTTTGCCTTGAGTTCTTTGACTATCTATTCTCAGTTTGGTACTGAGTTCCATGATTGGTTCCCATTTGTGTGGCATCCTTGGTGGAGTCAGGTCATTTCATCACTTTTCGCTATCTTTTGCACTGCTATTTTGTGTTGTACTATCTCGAAGTTTTTCATCAGAAGGAGAATCATAGGGTGGAACACAGGCATAGTCCCTATAAGCCTGTTGTTTGAAGCTGCCTCACAAAGTTTGCTGTTCTCACTGGACTGGCATCCATTTGGACAAGCTTTACTATGAGTCACCAATAAAACCAGCTGAGCTTTTCCTGTCACGTCAGTTTTGTGTCCAGAGAGCTTGGCTTTGGTCCAGAGAGAGCATTCTCTGATTTTCTGCCTAGGGTGGGAGGCAAAGGGTGCAGATTGTCAGGTCTGCTTTTGGAGGCAGCCAACCCTTAGTTTGGGAGCCCGAGTCACGAGGTGCCCACGCATTACATTCCTGCTGACGGTCGCCACATCTCATGGGGTTGTCTAGGTCTAAACCTCTCCTCTGCCAGGAAAAACTCCTACATCTTTTAGGGACTCTCATCACAGTGCGAATTCTTGTGTCAATCTTTCTAAATAGCATAAGTTCACTGAGGATGATATGGACCTTCAGTGGCCACTGGGGGGAACATTTGATTTGAAGAAAATTGTTCTTTGGAGAGGTCCCTTAGAAAAGGAAGGGAAAATGGGCAGTGTCTTCTGACTGGTATGCAGAGGCCTCCAAACAAAATTCTAAGGCACAAATTGCTTCACTAAAAGATTCTTTGGCTAATGCTGGTGAGCGGTTAAACAAACATAAGCAAGAACAAACCAGATTTATTCTCCAAGTAAACCCTCCCCTCCAGTCCTCCAGTTGCCTCCCTGTATCCAGCTCTCCCCCTTCCTCCTTATCCTTCTGAACCTCCTCCTTCCTTGCCCTGTGTGCAGACCCTTACCTTTTCCCAACAGCTCTCCTAAGATCCCTAAATGTCAGTTGCTTCTAAAAATCCATTCTTCCCATGAGCCAGACATGCAAACCACTATAGAATTTAAGCTTTGGATGTAAGCTGAATTAAGAGCTAGAATTAAAGATTTCTTTAAACCCAAACAAGACTAGCAAATATTCATGGAAGTAGTTAGAATTCTTTTGGGTGCATATGACCCAGGGTTATCTGACCTATTTCAACTCGTACACGTTAGTCGGAACCTCAGATGCTAAATTCTGAATGGCTAAAGCTGCTTGGACTAACTCAGAACCTGAGATCCTGTAGAAATCTATAGGATCCTTCTTTTCATTTTCAACCTGAAGTTCAAAAAAGGCCAGAAAAGTAGGTCAAAGTCTCCTAAGAGCTATACTTGAAATATTTCTAATGAAAATTGATTGAACCATAATTAAGTCATGCAAACAAACAAAATGATGA